CACACACACACACACATCTGGATTATCATAATGAAGCAGGTTTGGCTCTCATGAATATGCAGGACACACAGTGCATATTAAATGAGCTAAAACAACAACATACACAACAAACAGGACATGAATATGAATGAACAATGAACACACAAACATATCAGCACATCTCCATGTGAGAGATGAAGAGGCCTCTCAGTGGTTCTGGCTTTGTTCTGGTCTCGTGTGATGAAGATTAACATGCGATAAATTATATTTCATTCAGAACATGTATCCTGGTCAACCAGCATCCAATCTCTCTGTATTTCTGACATCTTGCTGGAAGAACTTGAAGTCAACGGCGTTGCTAGGTGACAAATTACACGAGACGAGAATGATGGGAAAACAGATCGAGCTGCTGAAGGACGGATGCCAGGGAGAGGCTGAGGAAAACTCCGCCTCCAATCATCACCTCAACCAATCAGCACTGCGCACTCACACATTCTCAGCCAATCACTGCAGCCTGCTCATGCAGTTCTCTGACTGTACTATGGTTATATTTAGAATATCATTTTGAAAAACAAACAAAAACTAGTGTGCAGTGTGGATTTGACAGTATGTGGATTATCAGTAAGTGCAATAACTAAATAAATAAAACTTAATTTAACATTTGTCATGCATAAATGAAAAGGTCAAATTTCTGCTCTAAAAAAAAGGCATAGAGTCTAAAAAATATTTTTCAAAATTGTAAAACAAAGGCTCTTAGAGTATATTTTACAAGGATATGCTATTTCAGTTTTTCTACCTTCAGAATTTCACATTTATTTCAGTGTATTAAAACTGCCATTTATTTGTAGGTGAAATTTGTGAAAATTGTTAATGTAGTTTATTATTAACTAATTGCATTTATCTAATTTTATTTAAAGGGGTCATATGATGCTATTTCAATTTTTCCTTTCTCTTTGGAGTGTTACAAGCTCTTGGTGCATAAAGAAGATCTGTAAAGTTGCAAAGACTATAAATCTGTTCATTATGAAAACAATTAAATCCATTCAGTTAAAAAGTATGAACATGGTTAATATAGGGCTAGCTGTAGAACAGGGTTTTATCTTTTATATTTTTATTTTTATTTTAGTTAAAGTTATAGTAATTTTGCTGTCAGTTTTTTATATGTCTATATAGTTTGTATTCATTTTTATTTCAATTTTAGTTATTGTTGCACAACAAGTTAAATTGAGAAATGTTCCTTTGGCAGATAGCTGAAATAAAGTAATTTATTTATCTTATGAAGTATTTATCTTATGCTTTGACACACACACACACACACACTCACTCTCACACACACACACACACGCGCACACACACACACTCTCGACACAGGTCACACACACACACACGCGCACACACACACACTCTCGACACAGGTCACACACACACACACGCGCACACACACACACTCTCGACACAGGTCACACACACACACACGCGCACACACACACACTCTCGACACAGGTCACACACACACACACGCGCACACACACACACTCTCGACACAGGTCACACACACACACACGCGCACACACACACACTCTCGACACAGGTCACACACACACACACGCGCACACACACACACTCTCGACACAGGTCACACACACACACACGCGCACACACACACACTCTCGACACAGGTCACACACACACACACGCGCACACACACACACTCTCGACACAGGTCACACACACACACACGCGCACACACACACACTCTCGACACAGGTCACACACACACACACGCGCACACACACACACTCTCGACACAGGTCACACACACACACACGCGCACACACACACACTCTCGACACAGGTCACACACACACACACGCGCACACACACACACTCTCGACACAGGTCACACACACACACACGCGCACACACACACACTCTCGACACAGGTCACACACACACACACGCGCACACACACACACTCTCGACACAGGTCACACACACACACACGCGCACACACACACACTCTCGACACAGGTCACACACACACACACGCGCACACACACACACTCTCGACACAGGTCACACACACACACACGCGCACACACACACACTCTCGACACAGGTCACACACACACACACGCGCACACACACACACTCTCGACACAGGTCACACACACACACACGCGCACACACACACACTCTCGACACAGGTCACACACACACACACGCGCACACACACACACTCTCGACACAGGTCACACACACACACACGCGCACACACACACACTCTCGACACAGGTCACACACACACACACGCGCACACACACACACTCTCGACACAGGTCACACACACACACACGCGCACACACACACACTCTCGACACAGGTCACACACACACACACGCGCACACACACACACTCTCGACACAGGTCACACACACACACACGCGCACACACACACACTCTCGACACAGGTCACACACACACACACGCGCACACACACACACTCTCGACACAGGTCACACACACACACACGCGCACACACACACACTCTCGACACAGGTCACACACACACACACGCGCACACACACACACTCTCGACACAGGTCACACACACACACACGCGCACACACACACACTCTCGACACAGGTCACACACACACACACGCGCACACACACACACTCTCGACACAGGTCACACACACACACACGCGCACACACACACACTCTCGACACAGGTCACACACACACACACGCGCACACACACACACTCTCGACACAGGTCACACACACACACACGCGCACACACACACACTCTCGACACAGGTCACACACACACACACGCGCACACACACACA